AAGCCTCGCTTTCGCGCGCTCTGTAACTAATACCGCTGTACCGTGGGCTCAACTGTAATAACAGCTATTGAAGGTGGAAATGTATTATTTTACTTTTTCAGGAGTCAGTTGAACAGTTGGTAAACTAAGAAACTCTTACATTACATCATCGAACAACCGTAAACTCACACCGATCTTCAACAATGGCATGTTATGAAGACAAAACACCTCAAGGTCCAACAAGTGAAAATATGGTAAGAAATCCGCCTGAGCTTCAATGTCTTGAAATCCAAATCCCGAGCAGCAAATCAGAAGGATTTCCGGCAGTCCATGATGATTACGAAGCTATAACGAATTACGCCGGGCGAATGAACTTATCTGTTGCCTCTGAGTCGTCTCTTGTTGAACCTTTATCGTTTGGGTCAGTTCCTTTGGACCAACAGTCTCAGCAAGCCAGAACGTCATGTTCCAGTGCATCAAAGGATTCATCTTGCTACTACCGTCCCGGACCAATCCTGTATGGCTCCTCGGGTACGCTCCCGAAGCAAGGATCCAGTGCAACCTCTGACTTCCAGTCTACTTCGATGTGTTCCACGTCTAATCGTAGCGTGCTAGATTATCCGTGTTCCTTTACACCCGCTACCACATCAGCGTCAGCCGCTAGGCACACTTACACTCCTCAGAATGACCCCAATTTGCTCCCTGGGAGAGGCGAGAGCAGCGGGGTTGTTTGGTGCAAAGATGCGTTGAAGGCGTTGTCAATTGATAAGCCGCTACAATTGAAACAAGCAGCTACCTATCAGGGCCATCAACTGCCACTGCAGACTGCCTCTTGTAGCGTAGACATCGAAAACAGGAGCAAACCATATCAAACAGGCATTGAAGCTCTCACCAGTAAAATGAAGATCCCAAGGTATGTGTTCCATCCAAACGAAGCCCTGCAGCCACCACAGAAACTTGTTAATCCCAGCGAGCCCTTTCCCTCTGGAATAGTTAATGCCAGTAACGTTCACAGATCTGATGGCCAAAGAGTGGCAGAAAACAGCAGCTCTGTGCCGAAGTCAGACTTCCAAATGGGCACTCCAAACGACCAGCGTTTTCAGGACCTGCAGACGGCACTATGGAAAGAAAATTACGCTGCCTTGTATCTGAACCAGATGGCGCAGTCAATGAATAAAAACACGCCTTTCAACAGCACGCCATTTCCTTACGTGCCGATGAGAAGTCAGGAGCAACAACCCATGAACAACAGCCTGACGCAGGTTGCACCTGCTGGTAACATTCATCACAATCTACCTGGTTTTCCTGTTAGCAATGCCTTTAGGCAACCGTTGCTTCCTTCAGCAGATTTCTGCAGTGCACAATCTTCTGCAGGGACAAATGTGACGTACACTGCTGCTCTCGCTGATCAGTTTACTTTCCAAAGCACTACCCAACATGGAAAGTTCTCTAACACTATGATGCCCTCCCAGTTGTCGTCTGGTACAGCCACGACTACTCCAAGACCCGTTGGAGCCGTCAATTTTGCCCCATACACCGTACCTGTGCCTCTATCTGCACCTTTAAGTCCATTCTTTGAAGCAACCATTATGGGTCAGCAGTTCTCTCCTCGGCAGAGCTATGCACCTGGGAACTCAAGAGAACGGACCAGCGAACAAGCAGTGCAGCTCCCCTCGACTCTCCCAACAGCCATTCAACCCAAGCCCTCCCCAGCTGGGTATGCCTTTGATCCCGTGTCTCTCTTTCACTTTCCTCGAGGGTTGGGTTTCCAAGCTCCGATACCGTTTGTTCCCAGGGGATTTCCTGTTCTTCAATACCCGGATCCGGGTACGATGTTCCGCGAGGCGAACTTGTTGAGACTTGATCCTGCGAATGACGGGACCACTCCTGTCGTCGAAGAAACGTCGCCAAGAACACCAGAGCTTTCCAATATCCCAGAGGAAAACTGTCGCGAAGACGAAACTCCCCCTCAGAAACAAACGACCTGTGCAAGTGTCGCAGCAAAAAAACTCCAGCAAGTACATCAGTGCAAAGTCTGTTCGAAAGTTTGTGCGCGAGCCTCATCTCTCAAGGTTCACATGCGAACCCACACAGGAGAGAAACCCTTCTCGTGCAAAGTTTGCAAACGAACTTTTGCACAGGCCGGTGGCCTGAAATCACATGTCCGCAGCCATACGGGTGAAAAGCCATATAGATGTGACGTCTGTCACCGGTACTTCTCGCATTCCACAGCCGTAATCAATCACAAGCGGACACACACTGGGGAGAAACCATTTGCGTGCGTCCACGAGGGATGCGGCAAGTGCTTCGCTGACCAATCAACGTTGAAGAAACATCATAGAACCCACACAGGAGAGAAGCCATTCCCATGCCCGTACTGCACCAAGAAATTCACCCAGCTGGGAAACATGAATAAGCATGTGCGATGTAAACACAGCAAAATGAGCAAGTAATAGTTCCTTCTAAAGCTAAATCTTATCTGTCATTCGTGTGAGTTACAGTGCTGTTTAAAGTGTTTTCTTTAGCAAAAATTAATAATTGTGTTGAACATAAAGGTTAAGAAATTTTGAGTTTTTGACTGCAAGCAAGGCAGGCACTGTGTTATGGTTTTCACATAATGTAGCTCCTATGAGAAGCTGAAACTACTTAGTTTATCACACGATAGCGTTTACGCGTCTCAGCCCGGTAACGGTAGGAAGAGTACACGAACTGATAACCAAAGATAGTTGTAAAGTAAAAATGGAAAACCTCGAAACTAGAGTTCACAAATATAGGGCGTTATATCTTGGCATATTCCATAACAGAAATTACGTTCAATCAACAAAAAGCTTCAGAGTTCCACATGTGAATGCAAAGTAGCCGCGTTTCTTTTCGCGCGCTCATTTTTCATGTAATGTCGCTAATTGGTCGACCGAATAAGCAACAACCAATCAGAGCCTTAGGGGCGCTACGTCATCACTTTAACAAATAGATTCCGTTTTGCCTTGCGTTCAGAATGTTCAAAATGTGATAAGAGCAAAAAAATAACCGAGTGTGTCCCTGATGTTCTTGCCACATTTTGGCGTCTGCTGTGATTAATTACCGAACAGGCGCACGGCAACATGGAATCTACTTGTTTTATTTACTAAAGAAACTCCTGATGACGTCATTTATGCCTCTGTCCTCCAATTGATCATAAGAACCAATCAAAACGCGAGAATAATTCGACATGTTATATAAATAGAAACTTTTGGGACAGTCTTGGTGTCGAGTTCGCAGGACGCTTCACAGACTACAAAATTCTATTCTCTGTGCACAGATCTCTCTTATCGGCAGACAGTTAGAGACGTTGGAGATTCCCCACTGATGACGCGCAATAGAGAGAGTTGTGTGGTATCTGTGTTTGGTTGTAGTGTTAGTGTTCAAGCCCCAGTAGCACACGGGATGGGTAACGGTATCCACAGGATAAATCACTTAATGGTGCTGGTGTAGTTTGTTTAAGCTATTTTGTAGCTTATCCACTGGATAGCGATTTATCCTGATAATAGGCGCTATGCACCCTTAGACTGTTCACAGCCTCTATTTTTTAACGCACGCGAAAGGAGAAGCGAGCACGAGGCATAAGGGGGTGTACCCAGTCAAGTCTTGCGTTTTGCGCTGGCGTCGCATTCTCTCGCGATTCTATCCGCGCGTTCAACGATCGAAGAAAAATACGAGAAAATAGAGGGCTGTGAACAGTCTAATCCACCCTGTAAACAACTGAAGTATGGAGTTTCAGGCGTTCAGGAAAACTCAGTCTAGAGACCTGCATGTAGGGACATGTACATTTAAAAGGACGTATTAAAGGAGTCTTGGGCAACGCCCCTGTTCTATAACACTTAGTATAATTTGACATATTACATCAAAATACCGTTCGTTCAAAACCGATTTTATACAAAGTTGAGTTTTAATAGAAGTAGTAGATCTTATTAGATTGTAGTTAGCTATTTCACAAAGCCGAATTTAGCACTGATGTGCCATGCCAATGTGGAGAAGTTTATCTCTCAAAGTTAGGAACCTTTAAAATTTTTGTGCAAAAGACAGACGCAAACAGCCTGTCTGTCCTATCGTTCTCTGATAGCTTTAAAAATTGTCTTTATTTCAAGGACAAAAAAATTAATTAAAAACTTTATCCAGAGACAGCTCCTGTAAGGTTGGTAACTAAGCTAAGACATTGATTACGAAATAAAGAGATCTTGAGTTTTGCGGCTGCTGGTTTAAATTCTTAGCTACTAACGCAGAGTGCCATAAATCTTATCAGCAACTTTTAACTATGGGTTTCTTTCTTTTTTTACAGGAGCTTAGTCACGATATTTTGAGTTATTTTGGCCCCGCACAAAATAACCTTTACATTGAAGGGAACCTGAAAATAATAGTTAAATAAGATGGGAAAACACAAAACAGATAATAATAAGCCATAAAGGAACAAGAATGGTTAAGGATGGAGAAGATAAAGTTAACACGAATTACAAACGACGGACTTGGAAAAATTTAGTCTTAACTTTTCAAGATGACTGAACCGTGACGTAGCTCCTTTAAATATGAAAAAATAATTGAAATTTTTACTTTTTAGCACATGTCAAAGAACTTTTGTATTCATATTCGACAACCTGGTACTTAGGAGGAAAAACGAAGCGCGGGTTCTCGTTTCCGCCCTTTCTTTCCCGCTGTAATTTTTTCCCAACAGTTTTGGAACCCAGATATTTAGCTCGTGTACCGCATTACTGGGGTCACGTGTGCATTCTTTGAGAATTGCATGTTGTATGCTGTACTCAACAGCATGAAATAGTCTAAGGTTGGACAATGGACATGACGCTAGTCATTTTTGAAATGTAATCATATTTGCGATACACAAAATTTCCCGGAAATAAGAGAAACCAACAAAAATAGTTCAATAAGGTACAAAAATACCAATTGGATTGGGGAGAGACGAAGGTGAAAAACGTTACACTAAATTTTTCAAGATACTACACGCGTGCCAACGCATATTTTGAATATTTCAATATAGCAATTTCTTAAAATTGTAGTATATACTTAAAAGTTTTATAAAGTTCAAGACAAATCATCTCCCTAATCTGTACGTTTTTAGGCGATAAAAACTCTCAGTTCACACATACATCGTTACTAGACATAAATTAAAAACAAACATATTGTGATATTTTCATTTCTTCTTGTGAATCTAGTCTTACACCAGATACATATGTAGCGTAATCCAGTTCCAATCATTGGTCACATGACTCTGCCTCGACCATCCACGTCATAGAAATTAATAGAGAAGCCTCCATCTCAGTTTGAAGGGCCTGGAAACCACTGATCCTGTTTATAGCACCAGTCCTTGCGTTCGTAAACGTTTTTGTTTATACATTCTCCCGGCGGACAGCGCACATATCAGTATCCCAGTACTGATCAGTAAAGCACCTACGATAACCACGACCAAGTAGACACCACTCTGGATCAGGTGAATTGAGATGGTGCCTGGATTTTCCACTGGCAAGAGATTTGTGGCGTTGATCATAAAACCCAGAGTCCAGCCAAGAGAACGTTGGTTAACCTGAAGAAAGGAAGAAATACGAAGTTGGACAGAAAACAGAAAAGACATTTT